ACAGTTTAATCTCCCAAATATCGAAAAGTACAATTCCACCAAAAACGCACGGCGATCACGTCGGGGTCACCAAATGTTGAGCTGCAAAGCTTTTTTTGCAGCTATTAAACTCCAAATTAACAAAAAAAGGTCAACACCTTTGATTTGTTGAAACAATTTAATTTTTATTTAATTTTTGATTTTGAATTCTAAACGATGATGTTGCCGTGAGCTTAAACTATAAAATGCAGCTATGCTGCTGCTGAGCTGCTGCTCAGTTCTATTGCCAAAATCGAATGATTGCAAATCTTAATTCCGCATGAGCAATAGCCTATTAGTGTAGGTATATATGTATACATTATGTACAACATGTTTGTTCTTAATAGTGAGCATAAAGGGGAATTACGGAGTTTACAACGGTGATATTTAATTCTATGCAGATGAGAGCCTCGAGCGATAAAAAGTAATACATAGTTAAACTTGTTCTTTTTTTACATGCTCTCATTATTTGATATACATATGGACCGTTTTTTTATGGATATGTGTACATGCTTGTACGCCCGCCTTAAGAGCGACAGCAGTTGTACATACTATGTACACATCATATCCCGTTCGCCTGCATTCGTCCAGTATAATAGTATGTATGAGCCCAAATAATTACCCTCCTCCATGTATATGCTCATATGTTTTGCAATTGGAATATAAAGTGAGTGGTTTTACAATAATAATGTACATATGTTCAATAGCGGACTGGGAATATTTATGCTAGGGTGGTACAAAATGTTTAGAAGTTTAAACAAAATAATAAAAATATTTGAAGCTTAAATGTAACGCTTTATATTGCGATGTGAGGCTAATGATTTATGTTGATTACATTATCGGCTGCTGCTCCGAACATACTCCCCGCGTTGAAAGGTCAGGGCTTTCAACAGTATCGTTTACTGGAAGGACGCACAGCTTGTTCACTGCTCGACGGGTTGTTCCACTAGACGTGCGTAAAACTGTCACTCGTACTACACCATCAGCTCCAGGGATAACCTCGATTACACGGGCCAGGGGCCACTTCAGAGGCGGTGAGTTTTCGTCCTTGACGCATACGATATCGTTTACTTGAATGCTGGCCTGAGGTGTGCGCCACTTTGCTCGTTGCCGGAGGAGAGTGAGATATTCTCGACTCCACCGATTCCAGAAAATTTGGTGCACGTGAGTTGCGCGCTGCCATCGGTCAAGACGATTAGAATTTAAATGTCTCAGGTCAGGTTCAGGTAGAGCTATTAGTGGACCACCAATCAGGAAATGCCCTGGCGTCAATACGTCTAAATCCTCTGGATTTTCTGAAAGTGGTACAAGGGGACGAGAATTAATAACAGCAGCGATTGGACATACCAGAGTGCGCAATTCGTCAAAGCCAAGAAGTGAAGAGCCAACCGAACGATAAAAGTGCTGCTTAGCTGTTTTTACGGCTGCTTCCCACAAGCCGCCGAAGTGCGGCGAGCGGGGCGGGATGAATCGCCAATCAAACCCATTGTTGAGACAGTGGTTATGGACCTCGCTGCGATGCTCCTCGCTTAAAATAAGGCGTCGCAAATCACTCAACTCGTTTCTTGCGCCTACGAAGTTTGTTGCATTATCTGACCAAATGCAGCTGGGTACGCCACGAGTAGCAACAAATCGCTTTAGAGCGTCGATAAAGGCGCTGGTCGATAAGTCCTTCACTAACTCCATCCAGACGGCTTTTGTTGCGAAGCAGATGAAAACGGTAACGTAACATTTTTGAGGGGACTTGTTACGCATTTCTGGCTTATAATAGAACGGCCCACAATAGTCTACACCAGTGACAATAAAGGCGCGTGAGGCCGCAATGCGATCCTTAGGCAAGTCAGCCATGATGTGCTCGACGAGTCGCGGTCTCGATTTACAACATATAATGCATTTATCGAGGGCGTGGGCGACAGTCTTTCTGCCACCTATGGGCCAGTATTGCAAGCGAATGGCTGCAAGTAGTGACTGCGGCCCTACATGATGATGCTTGTGATGAAAATGTGCAATTATTATTAGAATACACGGGTGACGCGCTTCAAAGCCAAGAGTTGAATGCCTCAGGCGACCGCCAACTCGAATCAGACCGATGTCATCTAAAAATGGTAATAATGAAGAGATGCTGCTAGATGATGAGACACACCTCTTATTTTTCAGACCGATGTAATCTGACCAAAGCTGCGCTCTCTGAACGATGCGAATTAACAACTGAACCCCATGATGAATGTCCCGAGACGTGAGCTGCGACGTCCTTGGCAATTTTTTTATATTGATAAATTTGCTTACGTAACCAAAAATACGCTGCATTTTGCCAAACGAGTTGATGTACTTAAATCAAAGAGATACGTCGGGTCGATCATTTGATGTGAGTAATACCTTTTGACGAGTTTCCAAAAGCTTGGTTTGTGGTTCACGAAATTCAGGCCAGCTGATTTCTGCTTTGTGCAAGAATATTGGACCGTGCATCCAAAGAGCTGATTGCAAGAGCTCTCTTGGTGCGGCCCCTTTGGATAGGATGTCTGCTGGGTTCATGGCTGTAGGAACATAGTGCCAAGTCATCCCCTGTGTAAGCTCCTGTATAGCACATATTCGATTAGCGACGAAAACGTAAAATTTTGAAGATTCTTCCTGCAGCCATGATAGAACGATCGACGAATCTGACCAACAATAGAAGCGGCAGTCAAAAACCTTCATCTTGGCTATCTCACCTACTAACTGCGCAAGCAGAGCGGCAGCGCTGAGTTCCAACTTGGGCACAGTCAGAGTTTTCAGTGGAGCAACGCGTGCCTTTGAACATAGCAACTGTAATTGGACGTTGTTATCCTTAGTTGAGCGAGCATATACACAAGCGCCATATGCTTCAAGGCTAGCGTCGCAAAACGCATGAATTTCAAGCGCGGCTCCAGGCTGTAATACATAGCGCGGAAATGACGAATGTTGAATGTTGACGAAATCTTCACAAAACGCAGACCAGGCCGTATCCAGTGAATGGGGCAAGCTTTCATCCCACGCGAGCTTATCCCTCCACATTCGCTGTAAAAGAATTTTCGCCCTTGTCAGAGTGGGGCCTATTAGCTATGGTAGCTAATACAGAGCGTTTGGAATTTCTGCCAGATCTGATCGGCGAAAACAAAAACAACAGAGTGTCTTTGAACGGATCCCAGACTAGTCCCAGAGCCTTGGTGATATCACTGCCGTCATCGAATTTGAGAAAGCTTTCTCTTTCTGTTTGGGGAATATCGCCGAGAATATCAGGGCTGTTGGAGCACCACTTCCGTAATTGGAAATTACCTCGAGAAAGAAGACCTGTGGTTTGCTGCATAATGTTTCGCACTTCCCGCACTGAATTGCCACCAGATATCATATCATCCACATAGAAGTCTCGAAGAACGACCTTTGAACCCAGGGGATAAGCTGATGATTCATCAAACGCGAGCTGATGCATGGCCCGAATAGCCAGAAATGATGCAGGCTTAGTTCCATAGGTCACCGTATTCAACTTGTACACGCGTAGGTCATCTTGTGGAGAGTCACGCCATAATATACACTGGAGCATGTCGTCTGGTGCAGTGACTCGAACGCATCTATACATTTTGCAGATGTCTCCAGTAAGTGCGACGGGAAACGAACGAAATCTAATGAGGATGTTGAAAAGCTTCGGTTGTATTGTTGGACCTGACATGAGCAGATCGTTCAGCGACAAGCCCGAAGTTGTAGCTTCAGAGCCATCAAATACAACTCTCAGCTTTGTTGTAGTGCTGTCATCCTTGATGACACAGTGATGTGGAAGGAAAAACTTACAGTCATGAACATCCTTACTGGAGACTAGTGACATGTGGTTGAGATCCAAATATTCGTTAATGAATGCCACATATTGTTCCTTGAGCTGTGGATTGCGAGTCAGGTTTCGTTCAAGACTGCGAAAGCGATGTAGTGCCTGTAAATACGAATCACCTAGTGACTCCACGCTACTCTTCATCGGCAGACGCACGGAATACTCGCCTGAAGATAGACGCGAATAATTTTGCCTAAAGTGCTCTTCGCAGTCGAGCTTTTCCCTTGTTGTTTTAGCGATTGGCTCAATTACATGGTCGATTTCCCAAAAACGACGCACTAAATAATCTAGACGAGTACTACAATCAATGTCAGTAGATGACCGTTGACGTACGACGAAAGATAAAAGCTTGGGCGTTTGTTGTCCACCACCGGACAGCACCCAACCAAACCGAGTTTTTTGAAGCAATGGCAGCCCAGGCGCCAACTGAATTTGGCCCACACAGAGAAGTTCGAAGAAGAGTCCTGCTCCTATAAGCAGATCAATACGCTGTGGTATGTTGAAGTTGGGATCAGCCAGCTGGATGTTGGAGGGAAGTCGCCAATTAACGGTGCTCATCGTAAGGCCAGGTTGACTTTCAGTGATCGTTTGTGCGACAACAGCAGTAATCGTCGTCGAGAAATCAGAAGTCCGCGACTTCAGTACGAGATCGACCGAGTATCCCTCCGTTGAAAAGTTGACGTCGCCAATGCCAGATACTCCAGCGAAGGTTTTGGTTTTGCGCAGCTGCAGCTGGTTTGTGAAACGAGAGGTGATAAAGTGCAGCTGTGAACCAGAGTCTAACAGCGCACGACAAGGTACGAAAGTGCCGGCACGATTTTTTACAAAAATTACCGCAGTGGCTAGAAGCACAACATCAGATGGAGAAGTAAGGGCCTGGGACGAGGCAGATAAGGCTGCAGTCATGGCATTAGGTTGGGCTGTAGCGGATTTCAAAGTTAAGCCTTGAGGGCTGGTGGCAGTTGGAGCAGAGCGATCAAAGTGCAAAAGTGTATGGTGCTTTGATTGACAGTTACGACAAGACCCCGATTTGCAGTCGCGCATCTGATGACCTTTTTTTTAGACAATTGAGACATAGAGCGAGTTGTTTAACCTCTTTTTGGCGGAGGTTTGGCGACAGATTTGTAAAGCGAGGACAATAGTATATCAGATGCTCATGGGATCCACAAAATACGCAACCGCCCACTGAGCCACCAGAAGCAACAAATGATTTTCTTTGGTTGGTACTCACGTTTTTACCAGATTTACCAGCTTGACCAACTGGTGTTTGCATAACGTGTTCGACGTTTTCGAGCGTTCTACAGCGCTTCTCCAGAAAGGTAGATAACTGGTCCCACGAAGGTAGTTCGTTTGTCGGCGAATTCTCCTCCCATTTGGATTGAGTCGCTTTGTCTAACTTCTGTATTAGTAGTTGTACAATGATACAGTCGGATATTTGCTCCTTGGACCCAAGCGATTGCAGTGCACGTATGTGAGCGGTGACTTTGTCAGTTAGTTCCCGTAGCCTGCCTACTGACCCATCTGCTTTGCCCAGCCCGAAGATCTCCCTGATGTGTGCCTGAAATATAAGACGCTTGTTATCAAAACGCTTATGCAAAAGATCTAATGCATTTTTATAATTAGCCTCATTTATTTCTAGAGAACGTATGGTATCCAGCGCTGCACCACTCAGGCAGGAACGTAGATGTTGAAGCTTGTCGACCGGCGTAAGGTCGCTATCCTTGTCGATGACAGATACGAACATGGAGAAGAAGTTTGTCCACTCAGTATAGGCACCAGTGAACTTTGGCAGTGTAAGTAACGGCAAGCGTGATCGGTTGGTGTTCACTATAATTGATTGCGACTCATTGGCGTTAACCCTGAATGTGGAGCATAGCTGAGGTGCACTACGCTTTCCAATTTCACGCTGCAGAGTGGATCTGAGGTTAACTAAATTGGAGTCGAATTTACCAGGCAGATCGCTGCAAATTGAATCGAAATCCAATTCCTCCAAGCTTGTGTGCGCACCGTTGAAACTCGACTTCAGTTCCCCCAATGAGTCCAGTAGTGCCGTCAGAGCGTATTCGTCCATCCCGTGCAGCTTATCACTGTCCATCTCGGCAGCTATTCGCTCAAGCCGGTTGAATATTGCTTTTGTTTTTAACTTAAGAAAGCTAACTCGATCTGTGGCCACCTGTTCATTTGATTGAGCAGCATTTTCGCTACCTGGAGTACCATTAGCTGGGTTAAGTGTCATAATGGATTCAAGTCGAATTTATATCGGCAGCGCGTGATGTGTACTACACTCGGGAAAAATCGCAACTTGAAACCGTTGCGTGGGAAATGAACAGAAATAGCGGCTCACAAAATATGCTGAAGACGTAAGCTAACAGTTTAACTGTTTCAAGATCACGCTACAAGTTTCACAAAGTTCCGTACTCTTGAATAACGGATTCAAATTTTCGGCTATAGGCGTATACGAGTATATTATTATGTACAAAGCGTTATGCACACAGTTTAATCTCCCAAATATCGAAAAGTACAATTCCACCAAAAACG